GCTTTCTGCAGTGTTAACCTGCTAGGGAAGATGGATCAACTAGAACAGCGGGTCTCAACCTTCCTAACGCTGTGACTCTTTAATACAGTTCCTCATGTTATGAGGATCCCAACCATAAAACTATTTTCATTGCTGTCTCATTACTGAAATTTTACTACTGTTCCGAATGGAAATGTAAACACCTATGTTTTCTGATGGTCTTAGGTGACCCTGTGAAAGGGGGCTGGTACCCACAAGTTGAGAATCACTGCATCAGTTCAACAGTACCACAGATGGTGTGTTACCCACAAGTTGAGAACCACTGCATCAGTTCAACAGTACCACAGATGGTGTGGGTACAACTAGTCACTTTCTGCTTGGCATTTAGGACTGAGGCATGAGAGGTCAAAATTCCATGACTAAGGCCTTCAGGTGCTCCAGCAGCTACCTTCCACTGCTGTTTTGTTAAATGAATGGATTGTCTAACCGCCTTCTGGATAGTTGTGATTTTACCCACAGGTTCTGTCTACTCTAGGCTTTCGTGAGAAAAGTTATTTTATGTAAGTGGATGCACAGCAGTTAATGCAGAGACTCAAATATCACCAGAGAGCTGATGATAAGTGACTGTCGGAAGTTCAACCCTGAATAGGACACCCGTCTCTCCTACCCTGCCACCCAAGGCTCAGGAAACATCACAGAAGAGGGGTTAGGGAGAAGGCAAGAGTTGGGCAATGGGGAGCTTCTCAGAGAAATGCTGTCTTCTGGACATTACAGTTCTTAGCAACTGCACAGGATAATGCCTTTTAACATGCCAGTATGGACGGTGGGAGGACTCACTAAACCAGCACCTCCAGATGAAGAAGTATTGGTAGTTAGCGGCTACTGGTGGCCAATTTTCCTCAGGTTGTAATCACTGTCAAGCTACCTGTGATCTAGTAAATAACCCTATACCTATGGACCCATGAACATGGAATCAACAATATTAAAACTCACTGGATTCTATTGTTTTAAAAAAACCTAGAGGGTGTTAGAAAGTAGAAGGCTTTCCTAATGACTTATAGGGGGAGTAAGCTTAAAGAATAACTTAAAGAAGCAAATTTGAATAAATATGATCAAAATATCTTATATGCATGTATGAAATTGCCAAAGGATAAATAAAACCATGAGAATATGAATAAGTCATGGAATTCAGTTAATAGTTTATCGGTCTGGATCTGTTAATTATACCTTGTATGGCATGCTGCATAAATACTTTAAGATAGGAACAGCTGATGTGGGATACATGAGAATTCAGAGCCCTTCAGAATGTTTCTATAAACGTACAACTATTTTAGAAACAAAGCTCAAGATTAGTGGATATGTCAGTAGTGTATATCCTAGATATGATGCCCTGAAATTAGCACATCTGTGGTCTTCTTTCAGCACAGTCTAATCATGACTATGATATCAGACAAATCCAAGTAGAGGGACATTCACCAAAACCTATCTATCTCTCTATATTGTCCGTTATGCCTCAGAAGCAATTTATCAAATTTTGAAAAAGAAACTCTGATTAGCCATTTAAGGAGCCAAGAAATATATAATAAAAATGATTTCCCAAGAGTGGCTAGGTTGTTATAAAGAAATTTCTTGTGAGGATACTTTCACTGCCAGGAGCTATGGGTCATAGATCCATAGCGAAGGTAAGTGTTTTTAATTACTTCATGGCCCCTTCTTTTATTCAATTTTGGGTGTTGTTGTTTTTGCTTACTTTTTAAATAAAACCTAATCCTAGACAGATAAACTCAGTCATTTACTGGAAATTGACAAATTACTCCTTTTAAATTGGTCAAAGCTGGCAACATTATTTGCATTTTGGGGCTATACTTTTTATTAGGTGTTTAAGGCCTTGTAGACAGCCACAGACTAAACTTTGTAATGTTTATAGCCAGTTGAGACTCTTTAGGGCTTGACCTCAGGGACTTAGGGGAGAAGCCTTGACTCCCTTAGTTTTTGTGCCGTTGAGGGGCTGAGTCAGAGTTGGCGCTGACCATACAGCTACCTTTGGAAGCACAGGAAGCCTGGCCCTCACTATTGACTCACCTCTTAAAGGATGTGTACTGGTTACTTTAATATCTGAAAACTCCATGACATCTCTGGTCAAGAGGACAGGGAAGTTACCAGAGAGGTCCTATTGTCTGCTGTATCCCACTGTCTTTAGAGAACAAGGATCAAGATGTTGGCTGCCTTTTCTCATCTCCTAATCCTCAGTGTCCACTGAACATCCAGAGGAATGACTTTATCAGTCTTAAAATTTTAACTTTTGTATAACATATGGAAAAAGTTTGGGGAAAAGAAAAAGCAAACATCTTTAAATAATCTTAACTTTGTTAAAAATTACTTTTGCTAAGTGACAGAAGCCTGATAAAACTAGGAAAACACAAGCAATTGCTATTTTTAGATATTTTTGTTTATTTGTTTATTTACTTATGGTCAGTGTTCTTAAGTGTTCACATGAGCAGACTGATAGCACCATAGAGATTTTAATAAACTTTAATTATTAAATGTATCACCACTACCTTCTATTCTCTACAAATCTTAGATGACTTATCCAACTCCTTATGACTTGGATTTAAGCTTTGTTAATATCGTTTATATATTTTTAGTTTGGAAAATGTTATCTTTTACCATATGAATTCTTTTTTATATAAAATATTTTTAACCTCGTAGCTTTTAAACATTTTTCTCAACTATTTACTGTCCTTTTTACTTAAATTATATTGAAGGACTAGGGTAACAAATTAAGATTCTTTCCTTATGTATTGTTTATAAAAAGTAATCTGATTTTCTGTCCTAGGCAAACATCTTCACTGGTTAGATTTTTATATTAAGTGAGAGACTCTGTGTGTGTGTGTGTGTGTGTGTGTGTGTATGCATGTGTGTGCGGTGTTTTCACAGAGTCTAAGAATTACTAGAGCATGCTGAGATATCATTGACCCTGATCAGTAAGCTCTTTTCATAACAAATAAAATGAAGAAGAGAAAATACACAGGGAACCAAAACTCTTCACCTGTTAGCTCTGTCTTTGCAGTTTTAGATGCAGGTTTTATTCTCCTAGGCTTTCTTCAGTAGACACATGAAAGTCCAGGTTTTTGTGGAGTTTATTCTCAGTCCCTTCATAGTCATTCTACATATCACCGTCCCAGGTGTTGAAGTCTCAGTGTGACCCGGCTGCAGCAACTGCTAGAGACTTTCCAGGTTTTGATCTTGCTTCTCTTTTACCTGAGGCTTTCTTGACTAGATTTTGGTGAGTATGCACTTGGTGTCTGAGAACAGATGTCTGACGCTAAAACATTTCTGTTCCCGAGTGGTTGATGGACCCCATGTCAGTCTCTTGGAGGAAACTGGCTTTCCCTCCCACAGCCATTGTAAGGGACAGTTCAGTTGTTATAGGCTCTGTAAATCTGCCATCTTCTTTTCCAAAAGTGAGTTTTTTTTTTTCTTGTCCTACTTAATCTCAGTTTTCACTAGCACCAGCCTCATCAGGTCAAAATCATCAGATAGTTTCTCCAAGTACCCATTTGCAAAGTCCGAGCCTCATGATGTGGCTCAGACGTTTTCAGCTTGCTAGTCCACACCAGTCTGCTTTACCTACGTCTGAGCCAACTTGGAAACAGGGAAATCTTCTCAGCCAGAGATTTCCTCAGCAACCTTGGAATATTTACTCCTTTGAAACAAAAATGTCTCAGTTTCACGAGGCCCCATTTATTAATTGTTGATCTTAGTTCCTGTGCTAGCAGGGTTCTGCTCAGAAAGTCTTTTCCTGTGCCAGTGAGTTCAAGGCCATTCCCTAAGGAGAAGTGGAAAGAGTGCAAGAGCCAGCGGGGACGGAGGACACTAAGGAAACAAGGCCTCTAAATCAGCGTGAGGAAAGCTCTTACGAACTCAGAGACGAAGCAGCATGCCTAGAGCCTGTGCTGGTCTTTGCATGGTTCTCAGTGTGTATATTAGGGCTTCCATTCTGTGTTTCTTATGGGACTGCTGAGTCTAAGAGGGAGCAGGTCTCTGACTATTGGGCTTTCCCTTGGACAATTTTCTTTCTAGGAGTTTGCCTCATCTAACTTTGACGTGGTAGTTTTGTATTACTATATTTTTAAAAAATGAGCCGGGCGATGGTGGCACATGCACTTGGGAGGCAGAGGCAGGCGGATCTCTGTGAGTTCGAGACCAGCCTGGTCTACAGCGTGAGTTCCAGGACAGGCTCCAAAGCTACAGAGAAACCCTGTCTCGAAAAACCAAAAAAAAAAAA